TATCTGTCAAATATTGGACTGATGGTCACCATGGTGTGTGGACAGAGTGCCACCATTGTATGTTCTAGTGTCTTGTTTGTCATGTACTCTGTAAGTAATGTATTCTTGTCATGTTTGCCAGGCCAAAAAAAAAAAAAAACGACCAAGATGACATTAAGGTGATGGGTTATGATTTTGGGTTGACTATGACAGTGATGTGCTTTTGACATTTTTTCAAAATTATTTTTTAGTTTTGCTCACATGAGTAGCAAGTGTTATATGTACACCTGTAAATGGCATCAAAGAGAGCTTCATAAACTCGCTTGGATTGTCCATTAGTCAAAGGGTCTTTTGAAGTGAACCGCAAACTTGCATGTCTCTGTATCAAAATTCAATAGGTTGGACGACGAAGACCATTTCTTCAAGGGGAAAAAAGAAATGGTAACAATTAAATCCACTCTTTCTTTCTACAGGGAAAACACTACAAATGATAATAATGTTTATATAATATATATAAAGAGAGTAAACAACAAATTTTGTTTGGAATTGTGATACGGAGGATGAGACGAGCCTTGTGATGCAGTACCAGTCTTTACAAGTGTGTCAGTTGAGATTTGTCTATTGTGATACAACACTGCAAAATATACCAACTATTATTTTGATTGATGTTAAAGGGCCTTCTTGTTATTCAATTTTATAAAAATATACATCTTTTAATTGATATTAAAGGACCTTCTCATCATTCAATTTTACATAAATATAAGAATGAAGCATTAATAGGGCCACCTCACCCACCCCACTTCAAAATTTTAAAAATTGTTTTTTAAAAAAAAATTCTTCATTTTTGTCCATTGGTTTTGGAAGTGTGTGCATAGTATTTTCATTGTTATAGTAATTTATTTTATTATTATTGTCCGGAGGCCAGTCAATTAAACCATCATTTGCAGTTTTGACTTTTGAAGGTAAAAATTAAAAGAAAATGGTAGAAAATATAAAATATGGAGAAAAAAGTAAGCTGAAATTTTGTTTGGAAAATGATATATGCACCAAATGTTCGTGTTCGTGTAACTCAAGCCATAGTTATACTAAAACAGGATAAAATTTTAAACATAAAGCTATCCTTACATAATCTCAATTACCAAAGAATCTCAATTACTAATAACATCTCTCATCATCCATTTATATCCTATAGTCAAATCATTATTTATTTTCTTTTTTCACTCTTTTCTTCATTGTCATCATTGATTTTTAATACGGAAGGGGCATAAAATCTCACTGAGCAGGTCCAGCCCGGCCCTCCAGTAAATAAGGAAGCCCAGCAATCTTCAGCCCGCTCACACTCATTCAAGGCCTGTTCTGACCAAGAGAAAGGCCCTTTTGGACCAAGAGATCAGCTCAAGTGAAGATCAAGCCCATTGAGAGGAAATGAAGCCCATATTATTTGAAGGTTTAGAAAGAACAAAGGATTTTTATGATAAGAATACACTTCTATAAATAGAAGAATAGCATAAATGTAAAGGATTCTATTAAAGTGTAAAAAATAAACTTTCCTAATAAGGTGAGCAATTTTTTGCACATTCAAATACACAAATATATCACTTTTACGGTACTTGGTGATGAGGGTTTTATTTTCTATTATCCCGTCAGGTCGCCCCACGCACCACTTTTTTTTTTTTGAGTTATGGTGAAAATTTTAAAAACTTGTTATTTATTTATTTATGTTGTTGCGAAATTTTGCATATGAGTAGAGATACTCTTATAGTGAATTGCCTAACCGAATAATTTTTAATTGATTATTTATACCAAATATAACTAAATGGAGAGTTTCATTTCATTATTTGTTGCATAATTGACCAATTAAAATAGTATATTTAACAATTTGCAAGAATTATTTTCTAGCGTTTTGATAACATTTTAAAAACAAAATTATGGGGATTGAATTGCAGTATGCTTCTGAATCTATATATATACACATATATATATATTCTGATGATTTCTTTTTAAAAATGTATATTCTATATATATATATATATATATATATATTCTGATGATTTCTTTTTAGAAAATTATATTATATTATTATACATATATCTAGAGAGATAATGTTATGATAAAATTTATAAAACAAAAAAGGAAGAATGAATATGAGAAGGCAATATAAGGATAATTTTGTTTTAATAGACATGGTAGTGGGACAATTTAATTGTCATATTAATTTGTAGATTTTGCCTAACAAATCTTTCTAATCTGCTGCCTAAGTATCACCACACATTTTGTTTATATCATTTTTATTCGCATACCAAAAAAACATCTATGTTTTGTTTGGGAATAACGAAAAATATTACTCCATCCGTCTCATATTAATAATCCATTATCTTATTTTTCGCTATCTCATTTTAATTGTCACATTTCAAAAATCAATACATTACTTTTTATTACATTTCCAATTTACCCCTAAAAGATTAAACTAATTAAAATTTCAAAATAAGTAAACCCCATTAAAAATATTTTTTTCATACTACTAATAATAAATCTGTCATTATGCAACTTTTCATACACTATTTTTTAGAGAAGGTAAAAATGCATCTTTTACTAATCTAATAAAGTATTATAAAAATTATTGTCTTAAAAACGTTGAAATTAGACAATTATAATAGGGCAGAGGGAGTACTAATTTACTTTCCTTTTTGTCTCCTGTGTTTCATAGGCCCCGTACTAATCTATTACCATCCGTCTTCCAAATTTATTATTTTTTTACCCTGACAAACAACGACAACAAGAAGCTTAAAACAAATAGTCCTTTGCCAAACATAGCGAGAAAATAAAATTAAGATCAGAATCTCTCGTGCGAAAGTTTTTTTTTTGGATCATTGTGTGCAGCTGCCCGTTTGGATTGCTTCTTTATTGTTTAGAATTATTTTTATTTTAAAATATTACGTTTTGTAATCATTAAATTACTAAATTTAGAATGTTTGAATTAAGTTATAATAATTACCAAATTTAGAGTGTTTGAATTAAGTTATATATAACTTGGAGTTTTTAAAATTGTGCTGTGACCAGAGGTCGAATATTTTAGGTAATTCTTTTTCATTAGTTAATTATATCATTTTTATTTTTTATAAAGATAATTACACTTATTACTTAATAAAGTTGTTATTATCAAATATGATAATATCCAATTAAATGATATTAATTAGTAATATAAATGTTTACAAAAATATTGTTACAAAATAAATTAAAAAATAATTTAATTATAAAAAATACTTATTATAATGTGTCACCAAACACTTAACATTTTTTAGCTAACACAATTTCTTGACAACTCTATTGATAAAATTGTTTTTTTATTTTATTTATTCCAACAGCAATCCCAAATAAACATAAACACAAAAAATTTAAAATGTCAATGCAATAATCACTCCTTCTATCCCAAAAATAACGTTTACGTTTCTATTTTTAGTTGTTCTAAAATAATTGTCCTAATTCAAAATCTAATGTATTACAGTATTTTTTTAAGATCATTAATTTACCTCTTTGTTTCCCAGTTATAAAAGTATGTGACCCATCTAGAAGTGTATATTTGAAAATTCATTTTTTATCAGGTTATTAAAAAAATATTAAAAATTACATTCTTAAAAAAATATTAAAAATTAAAAATTAAAAAATATTAAAAATTACATTCTTAAAATTAAATGCTCAAAAAAGGACAATTTTATTTTGGACAGAGATATTATATAAATGTGCTAAATTATTGATTTAATGGTGCTAAAGTATTGCAACACAATATAATATGTTGCATACCAGTTTCATCTTCAATGTAAATATGTAGCATATGAGAGTTGAATCGTAGCTACATGATTGTTGGATTTGCCATGCCACGTAGTATGTTACAAGGTGATAAAATGTGTTGCAATATTAGTTTAATAGTGCACGTGATAAAATATAGGTCGAATGAGGAACAAATAACATTAATATCATCTTTTCAAAATACATTATTTTAGACTCGGTTGACAAGCGTTTTTATTTCGTATTTTACTATTTTTTATTGCAAGTGATATACTATTGTAAAACAAAACATTTAAATATGTTTGGTAATTTTTGTTACTATTTGAATGGTATGTTGCAAAAAGAGGCCCAAATTGAAAAATACTAAATTGATGTTTCTTAAGGCATGTTTGAAATGTGTTATGCTATTATTTATTTATTTTTTATATTGGTCTTCAAATTTGGTAGGGACTACTGATATTGGTTTGGAATAATTCATAACATATCAAATTTTTTTGACTCAAACCCATACCATTAACTTGGTGATTATTGTGTGTTTTGACATGGAGGAATTAAAGCAAATTTGGAATTTTTAAAAATAAATTTTCGTTAGGTTCTGATTTTCACTCAAAACACTCTTACAACAAAATAATTGTTTTCGTATTGATAAAAAACATAATGCTTAAAACATGTCCATGTGAAATGGACTTTAATGTTTGGGTATGTTCCAAAAAAAACTGTATGATGGATAGTAAAATAAAAAAAAACTATAGGTGACCCTTTTTAACAAACCATTTTGTTTTTCAATATTACAATTTATTAAACATATTTTCAATTTATTTGCTTTAAAAAATATTACAATAAAAATTTTATACTTCTAATCACTACTACTAAACACACCCTACACAAAATTTTATTTTATTTCGAATGAAAATAAAAACACAAAACTATTGAACACACTGTACACGAAAGAAAAAAAACATGAAAAACTGTTTTTATTTCGAATGAAAATAAAAACACAAAACAGAAAGGGTGCCAACAAACCCATAAAAAATAAAAAATCCTTCCTAACCGTAATAAATGAGGGTCACCGTAAGAAAAAAATTTCGGTAATTTTTGGTACATGTAAGATGGTGGGACTGCATGTGTCCACTTGGCTGGAGGATGCGCATGTTAGCAAACAACGACGTCCGCCTTCTAGAATACACCTAGAGGGGGCGTTTATCACCAGCTTCTTGCCTGCCCAATCCCCTAGTACTTTCACAAATCTCCCGCCAAAAACAAGAGAACAGAATAGAATTTCAGGGGCGATTCGACGAGGCTCGTTATCGAAATGTACGGAACTCAATCAGAGAGCATGAACACGAAATCGATGGACAAAAGCGACATCACAGACATTATGGCCACATACTTTCCCGAAATCGATTTATTTTCTGATGAATCCAAGTGGAAGCTCAAGCTCACATCTGACCTAGTCGCCTTCTTTTCTACTGAAGCTGGACAATGTATAGCATCGCAGGTCTATTTCTCTCTCTATATGTTTTTTATACCCATATCGTTATATGATTGCATATATGTGATGTCAATTTGATTTAAACGGACACAGTGTTGATACAGTGTTTGATGTGTTTGAATGGATTTTGAGGTATTTCAAATTTTATGTGCAGAATATAATAGTAGTGATTGATTATGTCAATTTGATTTAAACGAACATAGTGTTGACACTGTGTTTGATGCGTTTGAATGAATTTTGAGGTATTTGAATTTTTATGTGCAGAAATATAATAGTAGTGATTTTGAGAATAAATGGGCAATAATCTTTGTACATTTGAAGATTTAATCAAACTGAGTCAGTTGTGGTGCTGGAGGCTCAGCGAAACTTGTTCAATTTGATCAAACACTTGTACTTGTGTGGTATTCATGTTTGTGTTTAAGTATGTACTTACCTTACGTTCTCTAATTGATTCCCCCCCTTGCATATATGCGGATTAAGCAATAAAATCATAGAAATGAGAATTTGAATTCAATTAATTTGATCACACACTATATTCGCGCACACAAACACATTTGTGTTTTCTGAATGATTTTTCACAAAGTAAGATAAGACCTGCAATATTGTTAAATTTGATTGTAGAATGTGGTATACACACAAGCCGAAGGGCTTTAAGGAAAGTTACTGGTTTAATCTGAAGGACTGCCCCCAAAGCTAGAATTATATTATTTGCAGTTATCATCCCATTGTTAATGTTATGTTTTCCCTTCTCCCATGATTTACCCTTTATTAAAGATTCATATGTAGCATTTCAGAGTAAATTCTAGTTATCATTTCAGAAATTTCCTTGATGATAGGAAAAAAATTGATTGTTAAATTACATGAACAGGTGAAGGATGATGATGGACTATTCATTCTGCCGCTTGATTTCCAACAGTTCCGAAAGATGTGCAAACTTGAAAAATTTTATGCAACTTTAGAGGAAAAACCTAAAGTAGCTCTGTTATGCATGGGTGCTGCAATTCACAAGGTACTCTAAATACACGTGCTTTAATTGATTATTTTTAGTTGGTATGTAAATCACACATGCACCTGTTTGTCCCATTGGGGGCTTGAACCCTCAATCTTCAATGTGGAAGGAGGAGGTGAAACCACTTGGGCTAAGCCCTTGGTGCACTTTAATTGATATTTCACCTAATTAATGCACTTAATTCTTGCCTTGGTTATTGATAAATGTGCACTGGAACCAGATTCTGTTTACCATATGGGATAACAACAGGTTAGAGGATGCTTCGAAGATAAATATACGTCTGCACAACTACCCTGAATCTATGATTGCTTTGAAGAACCTAAAAGTGGCTTATATTGGTAACTTTAAATTCAAGTTCACTTACACCTCTTTTTTCTATTAGTATCAATCTAAACTAATTGATGCTAGCAGAAATGACCGATATTATTTAGTGATATTACAGATAGGCTTGTATCCGTGCGTGGTACTGTGGTAAAAGTTAGCACTGTCAGGCCTCTAGTAGTACAAATGGATTTTGCTTGTCCGAAGTGTGGAACCAGTATTACACGTAACTTTCCTGACGGAAAATTTTCACCACCACCAACTTGCATTATGCATGGCTGCAAGAACAGAACTTTTAATCCGATTAGATCTAGTGCTCGCCTCATAGACTTTCAGAAAATAAGGTGATCACCTTGTTGCCATCTTTGACGTCGGCATTTCTTTCTTCCCTTAGTTTTCTGTAGTTTTAGCAAAAAGAAAAATTGTGTATACTGTAATATACTTTTATAGACTTCAGGAGCTGCTGAAGTCTGAACATCATGAAGATGGTCGGGTCCCTCGTACATTAGAGTGTGAACTGGCAGAAGATCTCGTGGATGCATGTATCCCTGGGGACATGGTGACAGTTACTGGTATTATAAGAGTGATTAACAATTATATGGATATTGGAGGAGGTACAACAAAACTGTCTCTTTGACCTGGTCATGTCAATTGACAATCTTGTATCGTTCACTTGATCATCACATGTGTTATTTTTCTTGCATAATTGATTTCTACACTTTGTGCTCTAAATAATCTCATTTCCATGCCTTAAGGAAAGAATATAATCAACATTATATTACATGTCTCCAGGCCCTCAGGGTGTTGATGACACAATGGTGTAGTGGCTAACGTATGGCAAGGAGAATGTTTCTCTTAGAAATGGAAAAAACTAAAACATAGACCATTTTGCTAGCATACTGGTCTGTACCATTTTCTTGTATTCTGCTGTTTGTAATATCAGGTACAGACCGTACAGGCATCATATCTGCTGCAATGGTATTCAATATGTTTAAAAATACATATAGTCCTTTATGCACACGAGGGAATAAGATGTTCTGAATGTTCCCGTGATTGGTGAAGATATTATATGTTTTCACATTTTCTCGTTTTAATTTTTCATGACATAGTAGAATTTAATGGTCAAGATCATTATAACCCTATTTGTTATTCTCTTCAATGACTTTGGGGAGTTGAACATTTTAGTCAGCACAAGTTTGAAAGGGCTTTTAGAGAAATCAATGGTGGCAAACAATGGCATGGTTCTCCCCCCTCCCTCCCTCCTCTTATGGGTTTCATGAAATATATGATACTGAAGTTTATGCAGTTGTACAGGCACCACCATGTCATTGCGAATTGTTTGAGAAGCAAATTCCAGTATATCATTGGCTAAAAATGGATAAAGCCTAATATCATTAACATAATCCATTTTTTTCTTGATAAATAACATTATTAATCCATTTTGCAGCTCAACAAAATTTGGGTTTCTTTCATTCTCTATGTTCTTCACAAATTGGTCATGGGTTACCAGACAAATATTAATTAATTTCAATCTCACAATTAGGATTCCTTGATGAAAAGAAGCATCTCAGGCATTTTATATGAAATAATGAATATATGATGCATAATATGATAAATGTGATATCTCACCGATGCCATAGATTTTAAATGTGTATGTTAGCATCTTACGCAACTTATTTGTTCTTTGGTAAGTATCTTATGCAACTTATTGAGTTCTGTATTTTTTTTAATTATGTAAAGATCCCGTCTATTTTCCTCTTATTATTACAAGACCATTTTAGTGCCTTATTGTTTGTGACTGGAGGTTTCTGTCTTTTTAACTGCACGTAATTATTGTGTGATTAAAATTTTTACACTCACAGAGAGCATAGTGAGTCGTGCCTTTCTTATCTCACTCGAAAGATGGCCCTTGACATTGTAATCTAAATGCATACATTAGGTTTTTAATAATTGTACCATAATATGTATTGGATATCATTCTAAATACTTCCTCCAAGATGGATCATAATATATTTTTTTTAAGTTTGCAGCTTTAAACCACATCTTATATACATCAGACGTAACTTCAAGTGAATTTTGAAAATTTCAGGGAAATCAAAAGGCAAGAATCAAGGATTATACTATTTGTATCTAGAAGTAGTTTCAATAAAAAATTCCAAGTCACAACCTATGCCTGAAGATTTGCAAGATACTAACACTGATGCCAGAGTTACAGAGCTTTTTGATTTATTCTCGTTTTCTCCAAGGGATCTAGAATTTATTGTAAAATTCTCAGAGGAAAATGGTTCGGATATCTTTCGTCAAATACTTCAATCTATATGCCCCTCCATCTACGGACATGAGCTTGTTAAAGGTACATAAAAACTATTTATTTCGTGACAATATTCACTTTTTTCCCCCTGTAAATCTTCCTTCTGGGTCAATCAATAAAAATTAATCCCCCTAACTCCACCACACCTTTTCAAGTACCATGTTTGCACCACTATGCAAGCATTACATTTTACTGTAGTCTATCATGTAATTCAATATTGTCATGCTTCCCCTAAAAAGTTTTAATCTTGTCACCACATAATACTAGTTAACATAATGACTGAAGTATGGTAAATAAGTCACTGATTTGTGGCCCTTGGTTACCTTGTTAGCTAAATTGATAGTAGATGGTGATTGATGCTAGTTTACTGTTTTATTGACAGCGGGGATTACTTTAGCACTATTTGGAGGTGTAAGAAAGCATTCAATGGACCAGAACAAGGTCCCTGTTAGAGGAGACATCCATGTCATAATTGTTGGTACACCTGTTTCTTCTCCTGTGCCTTGATTGCAACTAAAACCTGATGGCTGTTTTACTATATATGCCATTGAGGGTGAAAAAGTTTATTTTATATCCAAGTTCTTTTCATTCATTCAAAGTTAAGCTTACAACAGTTATTTAACAATCTTGTACTAGACAGAGGACTCTTAAATGCTAAATATCATATTACCAGGTGATCCTGGACTTGGCAAGAGCCAACTACTGCAAGCAGCAGCTGCCGTTTCTCCACGTGGTATTTACGTTTGTGGTAATGCCACCACTAATGCTGGCCTCACAGTTGCTGTGGTGAAGGATCCTATGACAAGTGACTATGCTTTTGAGGCTGGTATTTTTTCCCCTTCTCTTTTCTTTTGTGCTTAAGTGATGTTGTTATTGATATTTTATTGATCAACTAACATTTTCATTTTGTATGAAAAAAATTGGTTTACTTATCATTCAAGTGATAATGTAATTGGAGATACTTCATGAACAAATTTCGAAAAAAAAAAAAAAAAAATGATAATCAAAACAATAAAGTAAGAAATGGTAATAGTGCAACAACAAATTTATTTTTCACGTTTTATAGTAAATCAACATCTTGCTATTTAACCTAATAATACTGGGAACTCTCTGATCTTTCTTCTTTTCGTATGTGAATTCTGTTATTATGGCTATAGAATTTGTATGATTGAATGAGAAATGAGAAATCAAGAAATAACTTTTCCAGCACCAGCAAACTTTTTTCAAAATATGGTGTAGTATTACAGAATTTCCATGTGATGGGTTAAGAAAGAAATGAATGACACAATCCTCTTTTCAGCTCTCTTTCTCTTTTTAATCCAATAAACATTATTAAGCTATTAAAGTTAAGCAGTGATCTAGGAGTTGCATTTATGGAGGAATCTTTTCCAAGTTGACCCTTGAGGACTGCACTGTTTCGGAAGCATAAAGAACTGGGCAGAAATGACATACAGATTGTAAAGTTTGTGTATGCTCTTTGCACAGGCATGAAAAAATTGGATATTAATTCTTTTAAGTGTATATTATTATTCCCTACAGGGGCCATGGTACTAGCAGACCGCGGACTATGCTGTATCGATGAGTTTGATAAAATGTCTGCAGAGCACCAGGTTTGTCCAGACTGATTCAGACGTGTATTGTTGCATTTTAAGTATCAGCACTAAGTTCTACTAATTTTGGGATCACCCAGGCTCTACTAGAAGCTATGGAGCAACAATGCGTTTCCATTGCAAAGGCTGGACTCGTTGCAAGTTTATCAGCAAGAACAACTGTTTTAGCAGCAGCAAACCCTGTTGGCGGTCATTACAAGTACTGCATTTAGTATTTCGATTTAATTTGTCAGTAATTCTATTCTACGTGGACAACTGTGGTACTGATCATCGACATATTATAAATTGATTTTCTTGAAGAACCGTAATGTTAAAATCAAGCCAACCCTGAGTTGTTTGGATATATATATATGTATTTAAGTTTTTGAATTAACTATTGAGCATCATAACTAGTAATACAACCTATATTTGAAGTGACACTCGACTTGAAGTTATTCAGTAATTGTCCTGTAGAGTCGTAGTATAAACTTATTATGATAGTTTGTGGATTATTTATTTATTTACTTGTTTGCACTATAGCTTTTCACATATAGTTCTCAAAAGAAAAAGGAAAAACTCAACAGTGAAAATTTTCTTTGTTACTTCATTATCATGATTTTTTTAAGAAAGATAATTTTCCGAATTATCTCAGTTTGGGAACCATATTTAACTTTTATGATTTCCGGATTTCAAATCATGGAAGCCTGGTAAAATTTCCTGTATATGTTATGTCAATATATTTCCTTACTTAATCATCACATGAATTTGAACTGCAGCCGGGCAAAAACTGTGAATGAAAATTTGAAAATGAGTGCCGCTCTACTCTCACGATTTGATTTGGTTTTCATATTACTGGATAAACCTGATGAACTACTGGATAAGCGAGTGTCAGAGCACATTATGTCAGTAAGTTATCTCCTTTGGCCACTTTGTATCAAAGCATGAGTAAATAACATGCTATGAACAACCTAAGGTATATGGATGTGACAAACCAAAATGGTTATCATTTTCATGAATGGGCTATTTGCATGCTTTATCAGTTACCAGAAAGCCTCTGATACAGCAACAATAACAAATTCTGGACTCAGAAGTTCTTCACCATGACCCTCTCATTAGGTTAATAAAAAATGGCTCGGTGGTATGTTAACAAATTGGGCCACTACAAAAAGGTTTTTTAAGATTAAAAAGGTTGAGCGCCTTGTACCTATGTCATAATAGATCTGAACACTTATCTGATGAATGGAGAGGTTCATCTCTCCGTTCGGCTATTCTTTTTCACTTTTTGCATCATTGCTCTATTGGTTATATACTTGGGAATTGTTGGGGGTCCAAGTTTGGAGTTCTCTAAGAAATTGGAGAACTTTGAACCATAGCAATAGGAAGTCTCCATATTTTAACGACCAGTTGGACCCAGCAAGCTTACATTACTGCTTCTTCTGTGTTACCGATATCTTGAGGTGATTCTGGTCACTTGTCCAGTACTAGTAGCTTATTTTCCTAAGCGGCGAAACTTTATTTTTTCTTCTTGCTTTTACTTTCTTCCATGCATGTCCGTAGGACATTGGTATATAGATGACCATACTGCTTGTTTCGAGGACACGATTAACATAGAGCATTTCTTTACAGCTTCATGCTGGCCATGGAGAACAGTCACCAGCTGCAAAAAAACTATGTACAGGTTGCGTTTCTATTTGTAGTGAACCAATTTTTTGCTTTGGGGTTTTTTCTGTAACGTGATAAACTTTTTGTTTTACACAACAATGCAGTATCTCTGAGTGCTAGAGGCATAGACATGAGCGCAAAAGGTGGTTCTTTAGTTTCAAGATTGAGACTTGACCCAAAGAAGGACAGCGATTTTGTTCCATTGCCTGGTCCACTTCTTCGTAAATACATTGCTTACGCAAGAAGTTATATCTTTCCTAGGTAATTTACAGTTTCTGAAGCGCAAAATATTTATGTTGGTAACTTTGATATGACTATCTCTCTCTCTCTCTCTCTCTCCATCAGGATGTCAAAATCTGCAGCTGAAATCTTGCAGAAGTTTTATTTACAATTGAGAGATCATAACACTTCTGCTGATGGTACACCAATAACAGCAAGGCAATTAGAAAGCCTGGTAAGGCTGGCGGCTGCTCGAGCTAGACTGGAATTAAGAGAAGAAATAACTGCACAAGATGCGTTGGTGAGTTCATTTTGCAGGGGGGGTAGCACATTAATTATGAAATCCAATCAAAAAGATTGAGTTGCTTCTTACTCCCATGATAAATACGTAGGCTATCTGAGCCAAAAGCACAACAAAATTGCCTCAAGTGAATCTGTCTTAGAAATTAATACACTGTTCTCTTCTTATGTTGTCTTGATTTCAGTCCAAGCTATAAAAAGGGAATATTTTAGTCCAAGTGACGCCTAGAGAGGCTGTACAGTGTGAAAGCACAATAAGGGAACATAGTGTATGATATCTATTGTTCACTTCATCTATTTTGCAGGATGTCGTTGAGATAATGAAAGAATCCTTGTACGATAAGTATGTTGATGAGCATGGTTTTGTGGATTTCGGTCGGAGTGGGGGTATGAGTCAACAGAAAGAAGCAAAACGATTTTTAAGCGCCCTGAATAAACAATCAGAGTTGCAGCAAAAAGATTGCTTTTCAATATCAGTATGCAGCCTTGCTTTTCCGTTATTTCTGAGAATTTTTTCATCTTCTTCATAATTAATTCTTTGATTTCCATTATTTTCTCAGGAAATATACAGTCTAGCAGATAGGATTGGATTAAGAGTTCCGGATATCGATACATTTGTGGATAATTTGAACAGTATTGGTTATCTACTAAAGAAGGGGCCAAAGACATATCAGGTACTGTGACATTATAACATCTGGTTGCCACATACTTAAATTAAGGAGTTCTTGATTACAATATTACTTTTTACTAAAACCAAAAAATCGAATAAAGTTGTCCATGAGAGTTAACTAAATCTAGAGTAATAAAATCGTCATTCTTTTGTCAAAGTGACTAGAGTTGTTTAGCATGTCTTGCTATAAAGGAAACTATGTTTAGGCTCTAGTCATAATTTTAGTTGTAAATTTTTTAATGCACTTGGCTGTTTTTTGTTTTTGCTTGTTTCTTTTTCCTCTTGTTATTTTAAAAAATGTGAAACCTAGTTGAGAATCCAACCCAAGATTTGGGATCCATCAAAACAGTTGCAGTTCTTGCTGCCCCACCAGATAGTGCACACAGTTGATAGAAACATCTTTCCTTTCAAATATAACTCAAACAGTTGATCACCCTCGTAAGTTATAGACTTCCCATTCATAGGTTTTACAGTGTCAACCATTACAGTAATTTCTCAACTATTACAGTCTCGACGTAGGTTCATTAATGGTATTTCCAAAAAAGAAACCGTAGGTTCATTACTGGTGGATGCATATGATGGGATTCAATTACAACATGACACTTTAAATCAAACTGTATCTGGCATCTTGGTGAATCATTGATACAATAGAAGTTATTTGGATCTTTAAACTCTCAGTGAGAAATTCAAATCCTTCTCATCCAGGTGCTATCATCATCTTATTCGCGAAGTCAATCATCAAGATCGAAGGGCTAAGTTGTTCGGCACTAGAGAACAGGTCAAGTTTTGTATTTATACTATAATTGCGTTATTTCAGTGCCATGTGATAATTTTCTTAGTGTTATGCAGAAGTTCAACTACTGATGATTTTAAGAATGCGCAGCCACCTGGAATAGGGATCACTGGCATGTGGAATGGAAATGTGTACGTGGTACGCCATGCCTCATTGTTCTTTGTGATAAGAAAGAATTTATATAGATGTTTTCTTTAATTCTGGACTGTTAGAAATTGCCTAATTACTGTGTTTGGATGTAACAAAAGTTTCAGACTGTTATGATAAAAAAAAACCAACAGACAGAATTTTTCTCCGGTGCACCTATATCTTCAATTCCTTTTCCCATACTTTTTTAGTTCATTTTCTCGTTTTATTTGTATACTACCACTTCCATCTTCTCTTGAATGTTTGATTACTATATCTTCTCATATATTTCACCACTCATACCGTCATATGCATATTTAAAAAGCAGTTATTTTATTAACGGTTTTTAATCCCCATCATAAATTATGACATGTTTAATAGTCCTCTTATCACACATTAGATTGAAGCATTGCTCCACTTTAATTTCATTATTACGTACACTCGGCGGCCTCAAAATAATCTTTATATCAAACGTTGCTTAAAAGAAATTGTGTCCTAGAAGGTCCGATGCAAAGCCAATCAACTACAACAAATTTGAATTTTTGCTATGAAAAAATTTGCAAAGAAAAGTCCAATTTTGCAGTAAATATTGTGATGAAATGTTTGGTAGCAATGAAATTGTCGCTAAATAAGGTCTGATATGTTTTTTGAGATGGTCCGTCTTCTGATTGTTATTTGCGGTTGAATTTATCGATGTAACTTTCACTTTCATTGTTTCTTAACCTAGCCTAACTTAGTTAATCTTGGTTTATACGGAAAAAAAATTAATAACAATAATAAGTCTTGGGGATCTATCATTTGTACCACCCGTGGTGTTTGGCTGCTTTGTATCTCATAATCAATACTTTAAAGGTGCAGTCGATGGGAAAGAATCCTTGTTTACCGAGTGCAAGCTCCTGTCTGCGTAAGGCTAGATAATGGGAAGGAAACAGAGGTCATTTATGCCAAATCACAACCTGAAATAAAATTAACGAATCTCTACAAGAGCATCTCATGACGATGGAATCAGAAACCGAGAATAAAAATGGCATAGTGGCAAATTAGAGAAAATTTTATTCATAACTTAGAATTTTAGCATATTTTATCCGGATGATCATGATAGTGCTGATGACTTTAAAGAACATATACAACACAAGACAATGAGAAATCACCAGGAACCAGACAGCACCACTAGCCAACCATTTCCCAGAGCAGCCTTAGTCAGCATCCGCAAATCTAAAATCAAACAAAATGGAAGTCAATTTCCAATTGTCCAGTCCAACGCAATGGCAACAGTAAAAACTGAAAGACAATGTCCCATTTGACTCACCCTAGCTCCGAGAGCTTTAAATGAGCATCAGCATAATCAGCAAAGAAGGCATCCTCATCCTGAAATCAGGAATCTCTCAATCAAATCAGCACCAATAAAAATGCATAAATAGCCTAGTACCTAGATACATATAAAAGTTGATAGCGCAGTGCGAAGAACTCACTGCAGCATATTTCTCAACAAGGGGCCGAAAGACTGGATCCTCCAGAAGAGCTTTGTCCGATGGCAGCTGAATTAGACCTTTCTTCTCCCATTCCCCACTAAGAAGTTCCCTGTTATAAAAATAGGAATAAATGTACAAGTGTTGGTTTCTTCAGGTGTCTCTTAATTGCTTCAAGGAAACTTGTTAAACAAAATACTTGGCAGCATGCCAGCAACAATAAAGTTATAAAACCCCTCTACAAACAGTGAAAATTAAACAGAACAGAGTGCCACCATATATCACAAGTAAGAAATATGCAGACAGATGAGCAGGATTTACTTGAAATACGAATTATCAAAAATGAGAGGATTGGTGGTCCACGGTCCCTCAAATCCAGAACGCTCCTTATGGCACCTTCCCTGTTAAAGATGTAATTCATAGGATAAAAATGCCGAATCTCTGTACTTGTAGTAAATAGAATAAGCAAAAAATTGTAAAAGGGCACAAGCAAGGAAATCAAATTTTCTCAACTCACCAGGGTGTGACCACCAGATAGAGCGACGATATCTTTATCGCTGAGACCCATGTGGCCAAAGATTTCCCTTAGATGGTTAGAGCCTGAAGCGAAGTGACAACAAATATATAAGAAACATTCATTCGTGATTTATTATTCTACTTCTTTTATCGGTGAGTTGAATGTTTGTAGGGAAAAAGAAATGACAAAACCTTTAGTGGCATCAGGCAAGCGACCTTCCGGAGGTGGTTCAGATTTGTCCTGAAACCAATAGGTTCCTTAGTAGCAAGTACTGTGACATTACTTATAAGACCATGTCTGAACAACAATAATTCTTCCTATCATATTTACATGTTAAAAAATAAAAAATAAAAAAAGAAATGGTAAAACAATTCTTCATATCAAGCTGATCAAGGCTGCCTAGTGAACCGGCCACCACCATGAACCCAAATTCCTCAATCTCACTTGCTTTATAGTAGTTTAATAGACTTGAAAATGCACATATTACTTAAAATTTTATGTATTACCAATGGGTACTTATATACACATTAGGATTAATTGAAGCCACATTACAAATGACCGTTTTCTTGGAGATGATCCGTTCCCGAAACCACTAGCACATTATTTATTTTTATTTTTTTAGGAAAAATAATAAATTAATTCATTTAATAAAAATGCAATGGAAGAAGAATTAGCCTTTTGCTAACCTGCCTCCCAGGGTGGAAAGGAATCTCAGGCCCTCCTGTAACTTCAACAGCAACTATACCAGCCAACTTCAATTCAATTATACACAGGTGAAGAAGAAGTCAATTAGTGATTTTAGAAATTAAAAAATAAATAATTGACAAAAGTAAATAATAATAAAACAGAGCACAAAATACCAGACAAATCAAGACGAGAACGACTACGAGAAAAACTAAAATGAATGAAATTGATTTATACCTGATAGAAGTCTCCGAAGGAAATGATTGGAAACTGGGCCTTGATGGGCTCCAATAGCGTGACAGCAATATCAAGGCCATTGTTTGCTTCATGAGCAAGCTCTTCAGGGTGCTTCATCGTCCCAAACGGCCCTCCCGTTTTCGTATTCACATCAAAAGTCCCAGCAGAGTGCCATCTGCAACAAATATTCAATGTGACCTAAACTCATCATCATCTCTAGAAGCAACCGTTGATCGATCCCTTCGATCATCAAGAGATATTCATCTGTATTTAGTCTCAATGAAGCAGCAATCATCAAATATAGTGCATCCAAAATCAAAGTATCGTAGTAGAAACTTAATCATCAATTAATTGTTCTTTCCAAAAACCACCACCAAGTAATTAGTACAAGTACAGAGACAGTGTGAGTGTGTGCGTGAATATATGCATATGTGTGTATACAGTGTGTGTAAATATATATATATATAGAGAGAGAAATTACGCCAATCGGAGCATCAACGGAGCACAGTGCTTCTCGGCGATGAATCCTCTGAGCTTTCTTTTGCATTTCTCAATAGCCTTCTGGTACTCTTCGCTAACAGGTGGATAGGACTTACCCATAGATAGCGACGATCTTCCAAAAAAAAAAAAAACAAAAATCTCTACAAGCAAGTGTATCAAAAATGGGATTCAACTACAGACTAATTAATCAAGCATCAAAAAGATTTAAAAAGATATGCAGAAAACAAATGATCGAACACACATTTTATAACTATACATATACTGATATACGAATAACATGCATACATACATACATATATATATATATTGACTACATATATATATATATATATATATATATATATATATTGACTACCTATATATGATGCAGAGACTGAATAAAATGTGATTGTGCGAATTGGATCACTCGAAAGTGCGACGTCAGGAGCTACAATATTCTTGTGCAGACAGGACAGCAAATTTGTAGGAGGGACGAGAACGTTCTAGTGTTAGAATTTGGGACGTGGATCGTTGGATGGTTATTAAAACCATATGCTTAACGGCTCAGATCCATGATTTGTCTGTTTTGTGGTAGGTGATGCTGCGAAATGAGATGGCCTGTGGTACGTTGACACGTACAAAAAAAGCACGGTCAGAATCTGATGACGTGGCATTCTGTCATTATTATTATTTTTGTTAATTACTAATTCTTTTTTTTTAATAATTTTTTATTCTGACCATTGGACAAGGTTTAGTAATTCTACTATATTTAAATAAAATATTTACATAAATACATACAGTTAAGGGTTAATTGCATGAAATCTTTTAAAATATATATATATATAAATAAATAAAGAATTCACATATCAATCTCTATAGTAAATTTATAAATTACAATGATACCCCCAAATTTGAATTAAAGACAAACATAGCCACTTTTTGACAATGGCATTCCATTTTATTGGACTTCAAACCGACCTTAATTAATTTAAAATGTTTAATTTGTCCCTCAATAAAATATTATATTTTAATCCAAAATATTAGCTCACTTTAAATAACCTAAATACCCTTAATTATTGTGCCACAATTGGTGGACACACCACCAACCTTGCCCTTGTCCTCATCACAGTCTCACCGGACATCTCTCTAACTTAATTGCTCGCCAATTAAACATCTAATTAATTTTATGTAAGCAGAAATTAATATTATCATTACATCATGAGAATGTTAATTACAGCAGAAATTGATATTATCATTACATCATGAGAATGTCACTTACATAAATTAACAAAGCTGTTCATCATGGATAACTATGGAACTCCCAATCATTACTCTTAAACAAAACAGAAGACGATTATCATTCAGGAAAACAAAGAGGAGACGATTATTATCCACCAAATGCCGATTAAGGCTATAAGACGTACTTCATCTTCACACCCATGAACTTTCAGCATTTAAATTTCTAGACCAAAAAATTCAGTTAAACTTTACTCTCTCATTTTTTTTTGACAAAATGAAAGCTTCACCTATAATTAGCTTGTATGATTTTAATGTGAATTTTTTGTAAGATATAACTCCATATGAGCAAAGTAATAAAGCAATCGATGCACATTTTTGCATACTCAAAATGTTTTGATCTAAAAAAGAGCTCATGACGCCAGAAGTATTATAATTGAAAGGCATTTCTGAATTATTTGCAAGTATGAAATAGAGAGAACTAAAAATCATGATGATGTCATGTGAACATCATAGCGGGCCTTACTCTAATCGTAAAAAGGTCATTCATCAAATTGAAATTTAATGAATAAGAGAATCAGAAGCAAATATAATGAACGGTTCACATAGCAAAGCAAAGTGAATCAAATATGAATAACCATAAATATACTAAAATCCATTTGGGGATGACAAGCTACCCAACAACTCTCTTCTATTTGGGAGAAGAAAAAGCTAAAAAGGAACACCTAAACAGAAATGTTCTCGAGCAAAATCTTGTTTGTTTCAGTAAATTCCCATCCCATTTAAATTTCATTCAATGTCAACTCTTCCAACCTCAAAAAGGAAAAGGGCCATCATAAAAGAACAACAAAGTAAACAATTTATAGATAATTCCAAAGGTGAAAAACCAAGTCACTGGGATACACCCAGACACTTTGAAAAGTTCTCAAACTCTGTGAAATCACTGTCTGAGATCATTGTCTGATACCATGACTTGCCACCAGCCTTAATTGCACTCATCTCCTCCTTAAAAAAATGGAACAGAATCAAATCAGTAAAGTATCAAGAGCATTCCAGTCTCCATAAAACGTGATAAACTGTACATTAGTACAATCAACATTCATTACCAGTCCATGGAAGAAAAGAGGGCTAATTTCAGCATATTTAGCTACATTGTCGATGCAAAAACATTCGAAGGTGTGAAAAAACCAAAAGCTCTGCCCTCCCTCTCTATCTATCCAAGGGATGGAAGGGCAGAGGCCTTTGGTGTCCCATCCGGTCAAGAACTGGGGCCTCACAATCACAAGCCATTATGCTTTTTTTTTTTTTTTCCCCTCATGCCTTTCTTTGTTCATACTTTAATATTTTGGTGTCCTAGGCGTACTTTGATATTCTGGTGTCCTAGGCGTAGAGGAACCACACCAATCCATCCCGAACTTGGTGGTTAAACTATACTCTAGAACCAAAGCTTCAGAAAACAAAAGTCACAAGTTTCAAATCCACTTCAAGCAAACAGTACTAAATATAAGCAAAAATTTCTAAGGTTTAGGAAAACAATGCATTCATAAAGAACAGAACAAAAAGGTCATAACATCAAAAGATAATAAAGACAACTAAATTTAGAAGGTGCGTGTAGGGAAATTGTTCAATAAACAAGACAGAAGCAATTAAATTAAACTAGAAACAAGAAATTCATATCAAGCAGCCTGTGCCTCAACAGAAACATAATAAGCATTCAGACCAAATCGCAAAGTTGTTTTCACAATTAATAGCACCAAAACAGTAAATAACACGAGAGTGTGACAGACAATGCAATTAACTGCAATTTTAAGGAAATACTGCTAGTACCCCCTTAATCATACCTATTTGACCATTAATGTGTCAAAATACCTAAGACATAAATTTTTTTATTTCAAGCAAAAAAACACAGATTCACAATGCCATACAACCCCATATAAAAAAATTCAATTTAAGATCACTAATGGTAACCAATTGAAGGCTGGAAGTTTCTTGGGATCTGAACAGTTATTTTTAAGCAATTGGGTGGTTAACAGGACTAAGAAAATTCCTTCTTTTATTATTATTTTCTTTTATTTTTTGTAACAAAGTTGGTCAAAAACTCCCACGTAATCCTTGCAAAACCTGTGTTTATTTCCCTTTTGTAGTCCAGGTCTATGTTGCTATGTTATCTCTCTTTTTCCAGTGACAATCATTTTGTGCAATGGTAACAACTCAGTCTAACAAGATAAAGGATGCGGTTAGTCAAAGAGCAATTACTTTGTGAAAAACTATATTACAAGGACTCTTTTACATGAGCTTTCATATCGAACAAAGAGTGCATTGGTTTGGATATGGAACGTGTCTGACATTTCTAGTCAAACAAGTACACAGTTTATTGTAGTACTACTATATAATTGTACAGGAACTCTTACTATATTCCTTTTGTTAGATTACTGCTTCAAACTAATAAAATGTTCTATGCAACAAACAAAAAAATATATATATATAAAATAAAAAAATAAAAAAGGACATCTTATTTTGTAAAATAAATGAAAAATATTACTCCACATATGCACATATTTAGTTTTGTCCCAGTGTCTTTCAATTTAGAGATTTGATGAGTTTGTGGATTTTAATAGGACGCTTATACACATCCACAGTAGACAAACATACCAACTTCCACATGACATTGGTGCAAAATGATATCAAATCCATGTCTATCTATCTTTGGCCCATCATCCCAGCACCTTCGTAGGTGGGTCCAACTAGTCCTAGAGATTTCCAGGGCAATCGCCCTCTCATTGCTTTACCCATAATGTCAAGCCATCAATTTTGAACTGAAACAAATCATTGGTTCCTAAATCAATTGAGACAATCACCTACTCTTCCAATTTAAGGACTAATAGCCAACCTAGTCCAACATTAGGATAGCCAACTGAAGAAAGAAGTCAGAGAACAATGTCTGGTAAAAAGCATTTAGGGACAATACCCCAGTGTATTATTTTAAATTTACCCCACAAAAAAATTAAATAATAATAATAATAACAACAAAACTTACTAATCAACTTTTCAGCAATACTAATATGCACATAATGAAAAACAGCTATGCGGCTATGCCAGGCGAGTACATTGAACAACACTCATTTCTTCAGCACAATCATACAAAACGTATATTTATATGCATTTATGCAAGCATTATATGCATATGAGAATAAGCGCACGTGTGAATTTATAAAACATGCCCCATGTCCACTTCAGAAAATGGTTAGCCCACGGCACTAATATTATATTATTATCAACATTTACCAATAAAAGCTTAATGAAACCATAGAAAGACCATATATTTTCATGGTAGCTCTTACCTCAGCCAGTGTAATATTTTAAAAGGCCAAAACTAGTATTCAACTAGTATAAAAACCTAAATCAAATCAATCCCACATCAATTTCAGGATCACACATAGACACTGTAAAATACAAAGAAAAACTTTCAAGTATGCAAAGAAATGCCATGCAAATCATAACCACTAGAGAAACCAATAAGGAAATGAATTAGACATAGACCAATTTCAGGTATGGAAGAATATCCACAAATAACAATACATCTACAAGCATGCATTAGCACATAAAAACCAATATACATGAATATATCAAACAAGTATACCTTAGTGATCGGCTTCCTCTTCTTATCAAGTTTCTCCTTCTTTGCCTTCACTCACTGAGCCTCAGCCAAAAGTGACATCCTCCCTGCAGTCTTCGCATACGGGTTCAGCTTCAACAGAGTATTCAGATTCTTCAGTGGGTTCTTCTTCAACTGAGCCCTCTTCACCTCCTTCTTGATCGGCCACACCACCGACTGCACCTCATCAGAATTAATAATCCTCGCCAAATCTGCATTCACCATCTTTGACTTAGGCAGCACATACCCCTTCTTCTTCTTGGAAGCTTTCTCGAACGATCCGTAGATCGAATCCAACTTCTCAAATGCAGATTTTGTCCAGATAACAAACCTTCCAAGATGACCACCAGGAGCGAGTTTCAGCAAATTGATTGGGGCGGATCAAGGCCTTAATGACATCTGGCAATGGGAGGGCGGTGGTGGCTCCGTCAGTGGCCATGTCGGAGTCGAGGTGGTGGATGGTGACGAGAGGGCGGGCGGCAGCGGTGGCCATTTGAGGCGGTTGTAGTGAATGGAAGTGAGTGAGAGAACAGAGTAGTGGGGTTTTGGTTAGCTAGCGATTTTTTATTTGTTTGGATACTGGGTTTCATTGTAACTGGTTTAAGGAAAGATTGTAAAACCCTATTCCAAACAGAAAAAATTTGTAAAAAACCCTGACTTCTTCACAGCTTGGTTTATTCCTGAACCTCTTAATAATTTTACATGATTTTATTTTTTCGTTCTTCTCTATCTAATTTTTAAATTATATATATATATAAAGATGATAAATGTGTCACGGGTGATTGCAATAGTGACAAAAATCTCACCATTGTTAGGCAGAGTGATAAAATAGCAAAAAAAATCCCACCATTGTTAAATTCTTAATGAGGAATACAGGTGATTGAAATAACGAAAAAATCCTACAGTCAACTCTAGCAATACTAGCATGCATTATATTTATCCTGCAATATATATATATTTCTTCCTTCCCCAGTTTCTTTCATTCATTGTGTTCGACACTTTCAGACCAAAAGCATTAATTAGCTCCTATTGGCATGTATTAAACCAACTTTCCAAGACACAAGACATGAATTTTCATGTAATCTCTTTGAGTTGTTCCCAAGTTCATAAAGCTCAATACGAGGATTTATAAGCTTCATACCAAACAGCAACATAAAAGAATTTCGAAACGAATACTAACAATCACCCTACATAAATTGAAAGCACATTTCAAGCAGCAATAAGTGGAAATCTGTCTCTCTCGAGACAGTTGGTATTCAAAGAGCAAAAAGGCAATAGATATTTCACAATATCAAGGTATGCATTGAGCGTTTTTATAATTTGTAGAGGAGTACTGATAAAATAACACGAGGAGAAGTGATCTTGACAAAGAATTCGTGATTTTAAAGGCGTTCACAGTTGCAAAAGCATCCAATCTGGTTCATAATATATATATATATATATATATATATATATATATATATATATATGTATATATATATATATATATATATATGTATGTATGTATGTATTACATATACAAATGTATATACATGGAGAACCCAAGACCAAGGACGAAGCATTGCTTGAACCTGAATTTTTTGGTAAATATGATTTCAATTTTAATATTTAGATTTGTTTTGATGATCACCATTAAAGTACCATGAATTCAGTTAGTTTTAATGCAGATTAGTGGGTTGAATTGAATGTGGAAGGGGCTAAAGGGTTTAGTTGAAAAAAAAATTGCAGAAACTTGTTTGTGCTGGGGAAGAAGACTTACAGTCAACTACACTATGCATCCTCTTGCCAGGAAGAGTGACCGACCATGGGAAGGATATCTACTAGCGGCGAGAGAGATACATGTTTAGAGGGAGAGATTTGGGTTCCAAAGAGTTGACATGGGGCCATTTATGCATAGAAAAAAAAAAAAAATCAAAGTATCAATCCTTAGGACGGAAAGTTTGCTGGGAATGGGGGAGAGATGGAGTGGTTGTCATGCGAGAATTCCACAAATGCGACATTTTCATTCATGATTAACAGGTGCACATGTAAAGATGCCAGACTTAGAGTAAAGATGCCAGACTTAGTGTTTACTTTATTATGCTGGCACTCTACCCAACCGCCTACAACCACCCTCTTTTTTCTCAAGGCTTAGAAGCCGCAGCAGGTATGCACACTTCCAAGTTTGCTTTGAAAACACAAAAGGATAACACAAAAGAAAAGAGATGATACCTATAATTTATATTCATGTTTGGATAGATAAGGAGTGAAAAGAAATAAAAGGATAATATATATTTTTTGGATAAAACATAGGAGAGAAAGGAGAATAACCAAATTACTATCATACCCTTGTTATGTTATAAAGACTTGAAAGGAATAACAAATTTCTATATCTAATTTTGGAGGTTAGTTTTGACATTATGAAAATGCCACTAAATCTACTTTCCTTGCCCTCCAAATCTTCTCAAATCCTCCCATCCAAACACAACATTCCTTATCCTTTCTTTCCCTTCCCTATCCCCAAATCCTCCCATCCAAACGAGGCCTTATAGAGTATGGAAACGTGTGTAATGCAGAACAACACACAAACAAGAATATGGGAAGATGGAGTGTCTTTGGTGGTTAATTCATGAACAAACGGCAATGAACCACCATTGTCAATCCTATTAAGCCAAAGGACCAAGGTGCCAAAAATCTAGTGCATGTGTGAAGGATACTTTGCACACTGAATTTGTTACCCAAGTCTTCTGCAAGATCATAATAATTTATTGTTGGACTCTGATTAGTACCATGTTTGAAAGACACAAATACATTACAAGAAAATTGATCAGAAAATAAATGTAAACAGAATCTAAGATTGATTGGTTCAATCACATATAAGCTGCCAAGTATGTTAAAAGTGCAATTCAATAAATAAGATCAAACACACTAGCAATTGATCTTACACTAACACAGAACTGACCAATACAAAGAGACATACTATGATATTGCCAACACCAGGGTACATACTAGGCTTCACAAATATGGATTATTTGATAGAAGCATAAGACTGCAAAATTTACAATAGATAATGTTTCTAGCTTGAGCAAGAAAAAGATGCATGCTTTTAGAAATATATTATTATTGAATCACAGTATATAGCTTCTCTCATATGGCATAAAAGCTAAATCATCAACTTCAATGTTTTCAAATGCTAACCATTTTTTTCCTACCATGTCATAGAATTTGCAGGTATTGTACACCAGAATATAAAAGGATCATAACATATTCAGTGTGTTCAAAAACAGTTTTGTGTCCGACTTCCAACCATTACCTACATAAAGTACCTCAACGATATTGATGACCTAAAAGGCTAAAACGCCATACATCCTACCTGACTGTCAATCTTCATCATCAGAGCTTCCCACATCACTACTATAGTCGCTACTGTCGTCATCAATATCAAGCTGGACATGCCGAACCTGTATCGGTTCAGGCGCATTAGGTAAAATTTGAGCAGGAATGGGTCGTGGGGGTTGTTCTTCAATTCTACCAGGAATAGGAAGAGAATCCAATGGGGGCAATGGAACTGGGTCTCCAGGCTTCCATCCAGGAGGGGGAACAATAGGTAAAGTGCTTGGCAATTCCACAGGCATCCCAGGTTTCCATCCAGATGGAACCACAATATTTGGTGGAATCAGACCCGTAATGGCAGCCAGATTGGCAAGTGGATTGGATTCTGCCGGTTGTGCAGCTGGAGCTTCGATGAATGGTTCGATTGTTTTCTCATTGGCTTCCACTGTTTTAGGTAAACCAACATCAAGGTCAGAGAAACTGTATAACTGAGAAGCACGCAATTGCTCCTCCTGTGGGGCGGGTGGCAGTGCACCACGGAGAGGAGCCTGCCCAGCACCAAATTCAGGCGGTGCAAAAGTTGTGTAGCTTATTCTGTGGGCATATGATAAAATATCAGATAATTTCAGCTGACTAGCAACAGTTGTGGTACAAGAACTTTCTGAATCATCTTCCGTTTTTGATCGTTTGGGGCGGCGATAATCAGAATAATCATCAACAAGGATGTCAAGAACCCTCTCGGCGTCTTTGAGTTTGTTGGCAAAGGCAAGAATTGCAGAATCTTTGGACCGAATTTCACGAGATACTTTCTGCTTAGCATCCTGAAGATCAAGAATTTCTTGAAGTTCAGCAACAGCTTCAAAGAGCTGAGTTTGAAGGGATGTGAAGAGGGAGAGGATCTCTTTGGTGGAGGAAGGAGAGGAGTCTGGTGGAGTTGACGTTAAGGTTAGGGTCTGGGAAGATAGAAAGGTAGGGAGCGAGCCACGGAAGGAAGCAAGCCAATGGGATCGATTGGGCGAAACTTCGAATAGTCTTGATGAAAGGGAGGCCATTTGAAGGAGAAGAGATTGGGCTCTAGAGAGAGGCGGGAGGAGAGAGAGGAGAGTTGAGGAGGTTGTTGTGGCAGTTGACAAATTCGACTGTTGATGAGGGTGATGAGATTGTGGGATTTGGGAGGAAAATTTAGGAGGGGTAGGGTTTTGAAGAGAGGGTGAATTTGGGTTAGACAGACCTAACCTAGCTGGTGACTGAACAATTTGGTGTGGGACACTTTGCAGCATTTTGGAATTCTCTCTCTCTCTTTCAGAAACCTAAATCAAAAATTGAAAAACAAAAAAGGAAACTTAATATGACAACTTGAAATCATAATACAAAAAGATCAAGATCTTGGATGAAAAATAAAGAAGCATTTATGCGATTAAACACAATTCTAGATCGCACTTATGTAATATATAAACTTGACATTCATCATCAAAAATTTACCAGTTAATTTCACAAATGCTCATTTTTACAATCCAAACAAAATTCAAAATCGTTACCAATGAGTAAAATAATCTAATACATATAGATATATAGATGTATCTATAAGAACAGGAACAGGCGTACCACCACGTGACGAAGGTGCTGAATGAGCTCGCGACGTTCCTCTCAGATCTGGCTCTGATGACCACAAGCTTCTTCTCTCGAACGAGTGAGGAATTGCGATCGATAAATTCGGGTGAAAGAGAGATAGCTACAAATTAAAAGAGTTGGGGGCAAGATTAAACCTCGGTGGCACGAGCTCCTTCTTTTCCGATGATTTACACAAAATAAACACTTGATTTTGGGATTTAGTTTGCAAAACAAGAATTACAGACCTTGATTAGTTGATTTAGAAAAAATATTAAAACAAAACCCATACATACAAGTTAGCGGTTGCGCGCGGGGGGGGGGGGGGGGGGGGGCGGGGGGGGAAGCTTGAGAGTTGAGAGACAACGGCTGAAGCTTGCGAACGGCGAACCCGAACAGGAACAGCGGGCGATGGAAACTGAAAGATATGGGTTTTGATTTTTGGAACAATCTGAAATGATATGCCGATATGGGTTTTGATATAGGTAATAGGTTTTGAACTTTTGATTCTTGCAGACAGATACATAAACTGAAATATATGGGTTTTGAACTTCTGATTTTGTAGTTTGCAGTTGCAAAGAGAGAGAGCAAGTTCAGACCTCTTTTTTTTTTTTTTTTTTTTTTTTTTTTGGGAAAGTGAGGGCTCAGAGTTGAGAACGAGAGCCGATTGGGGAGGCTGAAATAATTTGCCCTAATTATTATTATTATTATTTATGTTTTTTCTGGTGGCCCATCATCCGTGGGCCTATAATTTTTGAGGTTTCATATTTTTGATGCATTTGTCACATAAATATTATGCAATTTTGTAATTTATTTATTTTATTCATCTTTTATTAGTAATTTTTAATTTAACTCATTTGTATTAAAATAGTAAAATTTCTTTTTTCTATCTAACATATATTTTTTTTGCCAATCTAGTATATAAGTTAAAGGTATAAAATGAATTCAAAAAAACAATAATATTTTTAAATTATTATTTATTTTTATATTACATAATTAAATTTATAAATTTATTTTTTTAAAAATAGAAGGGTATAATAGTAAATTTATTAAAATAGTTTCCATTCTTTTCATTTTCCAAATATACTCTTTCTTTTCATTTTCTTCATTAATCAACTAAACTAGTTAAAATTATCTTTCTCTTTTTCATATAACTAATGTTATCCTTTTTTTTTCTTTCCCACCGTACCAAATATAGCCTAAAAGAATTGGGATGGTTAGACTTAGAGGTGGCAAATGGACAGGTTGGGCCGAGTTTGGGTTGGGTTAAAAATGGACGGGTCAGTATAGGTTAGGACCGTGTTGATATTTTAATGTGAAATTTGACCAAACATATAGCCTAATATGCAAGCTAGCCACTATTTTTTTGGTAATTTTTATAGTATTATTTTCATCTTCCAGAAAGAATTCAATCATCAACAGGTTATGATGGTTTTATGCATTCTATATTAAAAACGTAATCTTATTCAGGGGGAAAATTAGTAATATTGTTATTCCAAACTGCAGCATATATGGGATTATAAGTACAGTTCCTTTTTTTTTCTTTTTTTTTTACTTTACCCAAAATTTTAGAATGCCTCCATTGAACTTTCGAAAATGCCTACCACTAACTTTTTTTTGGGGGGTCCAAAAAATGATAAAGTAATTATCTCTCTATTTTTTCACTCTCTGTTGAGTATTCTCTTATTCTCTCCTTCATTTTTCACTCAATTTTAGAAAATATATATATCATTCTATATTTTTGTCCCTATTATTTTTATATCTCATTAATTATCATGTTTTGGAAAATTTTATTGCCAGCTTTAATGAAAAATAAAATGTAGGACTATATATATAAAACAATATAATCAATAGTGGTCGTGATCCTGTGTTGATATTTCTTTAGTATTTGCCCCATCAATCCAGGAGCGGAGCCAGAAACCTTTGTTAGTGGAGGTGAAGTAGTAATATAAAATTAAATTTTAAAATTTTAAAAATAATTGTAATAATATTTTGTTGGGGGTGTATTTTTAAAGCACATTTTAGAGCATATCTATAATTAATACGAAAAAAAAAAAAAGAAGATAAATATATATATCTATATCTATATATATATACATATTTTTTTAACAACTATATTTATATCTATACTAGTATTAAAAATACAAAAAGTTTCCATACAATGTTGTGTTACAGTACAATATTCAAAGTCTAAAAGTGACAGGAGAGAAACATTACCAAAACAACACGACCAATATACAAAACTCCGTTTAGTAAATCGTTTTCTATATTTCAGTATAAACTATGCATCTTTCAAACCGCGGATTTTATGTAAAAATAGTTTAAGTAAACATTCAATGTTCAACTTAGTATAAAATACTAGTCCAGACAGGAGAAAACTAATATGGGAGTAGGAAGTATTATTATTTTGTAGGTTTTTGTCATCCGGAAGGACAGCAAATCCCAACTTCATTAGGGTTGTTTTGGAAGAACCGAAGGAAGACCAAATTGGGGCTTTCTGGTTGAAGTCGAAGAAGACGAACTTTCTTGCAACGGACAAAGGCAGTGTCAGTTTACAGGTAAGCGCTTTTCTCTTCTAAGTAAAATATCAATAAATTAGGTTTCTGTGATAAATCATCCCATATATTCTAAGTATAGTTCTATGCATGATGTCATATAAAAAAAATATCAATAAATTAGGTTCATGTGATAAATCATCTAATATATTCTAAGTGTAGTTCTACACATACATGCATGCATGATGACTTATAAAAAATACTACTAATTTTATATCAAATTCTATCTATTTTTTATGGGATTTGAAACCGCGTATAACACAAATCCATCTGTAATCAGTATACTCCAACTTGTATTATAAGTCTAATTATTTATAGAAACTTAAATTGTTTAGTCTATTTAAAATATAAAATCACACCATGCACATTTGGCATGATAAACATGGTAAATGGGTAATAAGACTTAAAATAAGTACGAGAGGTGAGAGAAGAGTGAATGATACAAATTTCAATTTTTTTTTATATTTTTTATACAGCAATAAAGCATGATAAACATACAGAAATTTCAAGTTTCTGAGTTTGCCTAACTTGTATTTTATTATATTAGAAAAGTACCATTTAAATTATATAAAAATATGATATCTATATCAATTTATATGGTTAATATTTAATTAGGTTAGATTACAAGTTTATTCCTTTACCACCTAGGTTTCTTGCATACTACAAATTACCGTATATGATTACACTTGCCATATTAATATGAATAAATTAGGGAAAATTACATATAAATGGAGTCAAAGTTTCATATTTACTTAGAGACTGAGTCAAAGTTCCATATTTCTCTAAAATGGATTGCTGAGGTGGCACATGATTTTTTACTGTTTAAAAAATTGTGGTGCCTAAAATGCCCTTCCCTAATAAAAAAGTAGTACCTTCAGTTCAAAAAAGTAGTACCTTCAGTTCAAAAAAGTAGTACCTTCGGAGAAAAAGTAGTACCTTCGCGAGTGTTTAAAAAATATGGTACCTGGACGTTAAAAAGTAGTACCTTCAGTTCAAAAAAGTAATACCTTCGAAGAAAAAGTAGTACCTTCGCGGAAGGGTATTTTAGGCATCACAATTTCTAAACAGTAAAAAACCATGTGCCACCTCAGCAATCCATTTTAGAGAAATATGGAACTTTGACTCAGCCTCTAAGTAAATATGGAACTTTAACTCCATTTATATGTAATTTTCCCAATAAATTACTTGTCATCACTTACCCCCAAATGTATAAATAGGACCTTCACATAATCTTTATCACATCAATACAGCATAATATTTTTCATTCCTTTATTTCTAACAAATTATATTGGTTGAATGTGTGTGGGATGTAGAGCTAGCGAGGCCGAAAATTTGTAAGCAGAATAGCATGGGAAACATAAACAGTGACAACACCGATAGCAAAAGCAATGGAAACAGTGAAAACAACTCCTCGAATTGGCTGCCTAAAGAGATCATGTATGAGATACTAACTAGAGTACCTGCTGAGTCACTCGTTAGATTCAAACTAGTATGTAAGTTGTGGAAAACCATCATATGTGATCCAAAATTCATCAGCTCTCATCTTCACATATGGAAATCCAAGCCCTCATTCATATTCACAGCAGATTTTGAATTCGATCACATGCTTCTTTCGGATCTCCAAGAGAGAGACTCCACAGATTTTCGTATACATATTCCCGAAGATTACAAGAATATTGTTGCCTCTACTGATGGTTTATTACTTCTTGAAGCTTTACCTCTTGATGGTATACATGCAAGGGACACTGTGTGTTCATAATCCTGTTACTGGTAGTCAAATGTTGTTACCTCCAGATCCAAGTCGTGGAATGATTAGTGACGATTCTTTTTTGATAGTATATGATGCTTCAACTCAAAAATATAAAGTGTTGGTTTTTATTGATAATTTCAGGAATTTCCCTAAGAGGAAGATCAACATAATTACTGTAGACAGTGATGGAGATCGGGGCAGCCTCGAATGGAGGACATATATCAGCCCATCCACATTTTGCTGGGAAGGTGGTTTCAAGCCCATCACTGTGAATGGGATATCATACACTTGTGAAGTGAAGAGTTCTACTCTTGAAGTGGCTTTTATTCAATCAATGGACATTGCTAAAGAGGAATTTAGGGGAGCAATAAGCTGTTCTTAAACCCCGCCACAGAAATGGAATTAGAGTTATGGATGTTGGAGGATTTGGCTAATCATAATTGGATTAAGAAACATAAAATATGTCTTGCTTCAATTGTTGGTAAGCCTAACAGTCTGTCAAGTTTCTTAAGAGGTGAATCATTTTTCCCAATTCAAATGATTGGGAATCTCGGATTGATGATCATTCGACATGACGCTATTCCTCTACAAATATATCCGCACGATGATTCAGATGTACTGGCTCCTTTCGGATGTGGTGATGATGAGGACATACATCCTTTTGGAAGGGGCTGGTACTTGTACAACTTGAGGAGCCCGGAGTTGAAAGTTATTGCCAGTAGGTCCATTGAAGTGAAATTATGTCGTTCTTATTCACATGGCCAAATTACTCATGTCAAAAGTCTAGTTGACTGGAAATGATTTTTTATTTTTATTTATTTATTTTCTGAAAGGTTTTATGTTGCTGTTTAGTTATGAGCCTCAGTGCTCCTAGAATTTCCATTTTTTAACTTAATTTTGTTGTCATTGTTGTGTTGTCACTGCTGCCATTGTTTTTGTAATAATTATTGTGATATGTTTTAGTTAGCCATAAAATAATATCAGTGTATATACATAGTGTCTGGCATCATGCATGCATTGTATTTTAGAATGCAGCCTGAAGCCTTTGTATCATCCAAAAAGATGGATCTGCATCCTCATTAACCACTCTACTTTTTCAGGAGAAAGGTTAAATAATGGAGAGTTACCTAGTTTATTCACGATTCTCTCTAAGCAGCTTGGTATGAACACAGGTTGCACGTTGTGATCATGAGCCGTTTATATCGAAAGTCACCCATTATTAATTTTTAATTTTTCTAAAAAAACAGTTATATTCTTCGTTTATGGAAAGATATGATTTTAGTTTCCTAACATTTTAGGGTATGTTTCTTGCTTAATCCTAGGCAATTTTACTGTAAATAAACAACATTTTAGTCAGATTACTTGGTAAAAATATTGTCC